AGAACAAGGAATAGAAAAAGTCATATGAGCTGAGGAGTTAGCCAAACATGACAGAATGGAAATATGATGGAATTAAGTGGCTTTATGTGTTCCAAAAGGATTGGTCCACGCAGGCCACAGGTAAATGGGAGGTAAGAAGAAAGGGATTGAGATGCAGCAAAATGTATTGCTTCATGGTAAGCAAAGGACTCAAGACTCTAGAAAATTATGTCCTTCCTTCCAAGAATATGTTAGTCCAAATCTTTCAAGATACAGAACCCAGGGTGGGGTCTGGCATACAAGAAGTGTAACAGAGGAAATGTCTGTGACATTTGCAGGACTGCAAAGGGAGCCAGGAGAAGCTGGGAAAGCCAGCAGGTCTGACTCCAAGTGAAGGAGATGGGGAAGGACGTGAAGGTTTGGCTGAAGCATGTGCCAAAGGCACCCATCAGAGGAGTCCCTGTTCAAGACATGGGCCTGTCATAGTGTCCCTAATAGGGTCATGGAGTGGGAGCAGCCCATGGAGGGCACAGCCTTGGCATGAATGCAGACATGGGTCTCAGAGAACAGCAGCTGGGCCCCTCAGTCAATTACGGTCCCTCAGAGTTGGGCAGGGGATGAACTAGACCACACAGTAATATTTATTTATTATTAATTAAATTAATAATAGTAACTGATTAAATTAATTAATTACACAGTAATATTTGCATGTATAAGGAAGCATTTCTCAGAATATGCTCACTGAACTTTTAGCCTATAAGTATCTGTATGAAAATTTTAAAAGGGGTTCGAAACATTTTGGGAAACACTCCATACTTTTCTTCCTCGTGGAGGATCATAATCCCTATTAGCATATGAAGGGCTCGGAGAAGTCCTGTAGTAAAGAAATTTGCTTTAATTTTTCAGTCCAGCTATTTTTCAAACTTAAATGAGCAATAGCCTCCCATCCTTTTTTCTACACTTTTTAGCATACTGCAGAATAAACTGAACATGCATTGAGAAAGACTGCTTTAGGGAATAGTTAACACCATTTCACTCCCAGTAAGCACATATAAAATCTGTATTTCCAGGGTGGATTATCAACACAGTTGCATTTTAGAAGTATTATCTGCCCTCCCAGGTATCACAGCCACTACGTGTTGGGTGCTGAGTGGAATTTTAGGGATCAGCCAACGACAGGAAAGAAAATCTGGGGCAGGATAAGATGGTCTCAGAAGCTGTAAAATTATATGCCGTTATTTGCCTCTTCGATCTACTAATCAATATCAAACAATTAATTCAGAAGAAAATTGATTGTTTTCTCTAAGTAGTTTTTCTACATTTCCCATTAAGAAGCAGTACTATTTAAAACTTATAATGGCTATTATGTGAGATTATCACTATCATAGTTTTTCTCTATAAAAATTTTCTGTAACATTATTTGCTAATAAAAATTAGATAATGGATTGATTAATTGATAATCTAAGAAAGATTGTATTTGAAGAAGCCATAGTAAGGGACAGATTAAGTTATCATCAGTCTAAACATTCTAATACTTATTTTTCTTTTTTTGAAACTTTCCACATTTGTTATTATACATTTAAATAATAATTTTTTAGACTTTTATTTTAGGTTCTGGGGTACATGTGAAGGTTTGTTACATAGGTAAACTTTTGTCATGGGGGTTTGTAGTACAAATTATGTCATCACTCAGATATGAAGCCCAGTACTCGATAGGTATTTTTTCTGCTCCTCTCCCTCCTCCCACCCTCCAATCTCAAGTAGACCCAGTGTCCGTTGTTCCCTTCTTTGAGTTCATGTGTTCTCATCATTTAGCTCCCACTTATAAGTGAGAATACGAGGTATTTGGTTTTCTGTTCCTGTGTTAGTTTCCTAAGGATAATAGCCTCCAGTTCCATTCATGTTTCCACAAAAAAACGTGATCTCGTTCTTTTCATGGCTGCATAGTATTCCATGGTGTATATGTGCCACATTTTCTTTATCTAATCTGTCATTGACGGGCATTTAGGTTGATTCCATGTCTTTGCTACTGTGAATAGTGCCACAATGAACGTTCACATGCATGTGTCTTTATGGTAGAATGATTTATATTCCTCTGGGTATATACCCAGTAATGGAATTGCTGGGTTGAATGGTAGTTCTGTTTTTAGCTCTTTGGTCTAATACCTATTTCTCAAGATCAAGTCAGATCTCTAAAAAAGGCATCATCCTAGCATTCTCCCATCCCTTCCCTAAACTAAATTTAATGTGTGTATCAATCAGCATATAGTCAAGACAGAAACCACACCAGTAGTTTGAACAATGAACATTAAATATAAAGAGTTATTAACTTATAAAAGGGTATGAACTACTAAAGGGGGTAAGGAGAACTCTAAAGAATGCAGGAATGGCAGATGTAGAGAGCAGCCACGACCTCTAAGCTAAGGCAGAGCAGCCAAGGAAGGGGCGAACTAAAAAATGCCCTGCCTCCCCAGCTGATCCACACTTGCTGGAGAGGGTGTGGCTGCAACCCAATGGATGCCCAAGAAGTTTGCTGAGTTGTGGCAGGTTGGGGCTGGTGAGCAGGAAACTGCCCGAAGGGGTACCAGAGAGATTTCCAAGAACGTGAGCATGCCTATGGCGAGGAAGATGCTCTTGGGGTGCCAGCAAAATTTACTGGGAAGCTACCCACTAGAGTGCCAGCAAAAGTCAGCAGGAAGCCACTGTCATGCTGTTGGCAAAATTCACCGGGCAGTGGGCACTGCAGGGTCTCCACCCAGCACTGGCAAATCAGCCAAAAGAACAAAAACAAAATAAAAACAAATCCTGGAACCAGAAAGAAAAAACTCTGCCTCTTACTGTGACCCTCTTCTGCCTTCTATAGCAGCTGGCAAAGGAGAAATGTTTATGGGGTCCAGCTCTAGACTCACAAGGCAGAACACAGAAGAGTGGATGAAGAGCTGAAAGGCAATAAATCGATAACTGGAGCCTCACATCCTTTGCCTTTTTTATTGAGGGTCAATATATTAAGAAGAATGTCTGCGTCTTCAGTAAAATTATTGCTAAGGTTATCACCCAGTGTGTGTTTTCCACCACCCTGATATAAGAACTTAGTGACAAGAAAGAATGAGATAATGATCATGAACTATTGGACCTAACCATTTGTGGCTTTGGTGCCCATCATCTCAGCAAGGCTTTCTCTCTCTCTCTCTCTCTCTCTTTCTCTCTCTCTCTCTCTCTCTTTTTTTAGATGGTGTCGTCCTCTGTCGCCCAGGCTGAAGTGCAGTGGCAGGATCTCGGCTCACTGCAACCTCCGCCTCCTGGTTTCGAGTGATTCTCCTGCCTCAGCCTCCTGAGTAGCTGGGATTACAGGCATCCGCCACCACCCCTCCTGGCTAATTTTTGCATTTTTAGTAGAGATAGAGTTTTGCCATGTCGGCCAGCCTGGTCTCAAACTCCTGACTTCAAGTGATCCACCCACCTCAGCCTCCCAAAGTGCTGGGATTACAGGCGTGAGCCACCACGCCCAGCTCTCAGCAAGGCTTTCTCTGACTACACTATTTAAAACGTGATCCCTGAGCCACCTTGGCCTCTCTTGCTCTCCTTCCCTGCTTCACTTTCTCCATAGCACTTCTCTCCTACTAACCTACAATTTACTTGCTTAGTTTCTGTCTGTAGAATGTGAGCTCCATGAAGGTCAGGATTTTTCCCTGTTTTGTCCATCGATGCATCCCCAGGACCTGGAACTGAGCTGGGCACAGGCTAGGCACTCTAGAAATACTAGCTGAATAATTCAGTTCAGTAAATGAGTGATCTACACGAAGTGGGGAATGAGAGTAGACAGTGACAGTTCCATTGACTAAAACTGGGGATGAATTACAGTGATAAAGAGGAACTCAGACCTTCAAAGTTAAGGTTTGTGGGCCACTTGCCAAGGCTGCAGAATGTGGTGTCGTTTCCCAAGGAGGAGGCCCTATTATGGCTTCAGATATTAGAATGATAAAGAGAACTTTCCTTTCCCCTCAACTGCAGCCTTCTAAACCCTTCCTTCCTTCCTACGTAGATGAGGTTTCAAGGACCTCATGGCCTGAATGTGGACAGGCAGAATGCTGGGAATCAGGCAAAAATAAAATAATACTGAAAGTGAAGGCCATGCTAACATTAGGAAGTCAGGGTGATCCCGAATTTACAAAACATTTTTCTTTGGGAAACTTCATACCTCACATTATTCTGTGTTTTTCCTCGGGAAATTTCACAGCTCACATGATTCTGTGACATGTGGTACATGAGGTGCCCAACTGCTGTTTTTGTCCTCCGCTAATGAGGAAGAGTGTGTGTACTCCCGGGGTTTTGCAAGTTTCAAAGTCTGACTTGACTTTCCTTCCTTTTTCTGGAACTGATCCATAAGCATGGAAAGTAAAGCTGCCCGCACCTACTCATTCAAGGTCCTGAGTGTCCTGCCCAGCTGCAGGAGTTGGAGAGACCCAGGAGGAGGGGCCACTGCTGATCCCAGGCTGCAGGGGGTGGGAAGAGTGTCCCAGGGCATGGTGACCCCCACTCACTCACTCACAGGAGACCCACACGAGAGAGAAAAGGGCACTTACAGCTTAGGTTCCCGCCAGCACCAACCCCTCTGTCATCAAACATCACCGTGTTTCTCTTTCTGCCTTGACTTTTGGCACACATGGAGTTAAATTTAATACTCAATCACATATTTGTCTGGGCTCTTTGTATGTTTGTTTTTCTCTTAATAGTTCTCTCTCTGCCCCTCCTCTCCCTGCCTCTCCTCCTCCTCCTCCTCCTCCTTCTTCTTTTTTTTTTTTTTTTCCCCAGGGACAGCGTCTCACTCTGCCACCCAGGCCGGAGTGCAGAGTGGCATGATTGTGGCTCACTGCAGGCTTAAACTCCTGGGCTCAAGTGATCATCCCACCTCAGCCTCTCGAATGTCTGGGATTACAGGCACTTGCCACTGCATCTGGCTAATTTTTATATTGTTTATAGATACGGGGTCTCACTATGTTGCCCAGGCTGGCCACGATCTCCTGGGCTCAACCAACCCTCCCACCTCAGGCTTCTGAGCAGCTGAGACTATAGGAATGTGCCGCAGTGCCAGGCTAGTTTCTTAATTTTCTATTTTGACAGGTACACATTTTGTATTCAATCCTACCTCAGACACATCTGTGGTGTGAAAAGGATGTCATTTAATCAATATATAAATTCTAAGCAAATAGGTCTGGTCCCCAAATTAGGTTAGTCGCAGCTGCTGAGTTGTTGACCCAAGAGAAGTTCATCTAGATTTTTACAGTATTTTCAAGTTCCTCTTCTCAGTTCATCCTTCTTCCAAACCGTGCCCTCCCCTCCCACCCTCTTCCCACAGCCTCCCCTCCCCGCAGCCTCCTCCCACCATTCCAAATCTGGGCTGTTCTCTCAATTTCCTTCTCTCTGGCCTCAAACCTACCCTAGCCCCCAGCCTCAGTTTGGGGTTAAACTTGTCCCCCTCACATTCTCTCCCACGCGACTTGATGTCACCTCTGTGTCGTCACCACAGCACTTTCCTCTTCTGGGTTCTCCTTTGCAGAGTGGCGTCAGCTCCCCCATGAGCCCCAGCACCAATCACTTCCGGCTGCTTGCAAATCCCTTTGCTTTCCTCCATGTTGACACCCGGGGCAGCCCTATGCTCGCTGCTGCTGAGGCCCCACCTCTGCCCCTGGCCTTTTCCCAACTGACATCACCCTGTAGCTTCCATTTTCCTGGAATTCTCTTTTGAGGCCTCAGTCTTTAGACAAAGCACACAGTGTCCCTCAAAAATGACAATAAAAACCCAAACACTGTGACTCTCACGGCAGCTTCCTGGTCCCCATATCGAATCAGCGGGTGGGTTTCTGTAAACACTGGTGAGAGGCCACCTCAGAGGATCAGGACCCTCAGGTCTGGACTCGTGGTCACCATGAACATTCCTCTCTGCTGACGGTAGCTGGTACCTGTCACCTACTCAGAGTGTCACATGCCGCAAGCCAGAGGGTCTTGGCAGGTCTCAGCACCTTGACATCACTTCCTTGCTATCACTCAGAGCAGCAGTGACACAGTTCCCTTATCTCAGGCGGCCAGAAGACGACTGTCAAAGGTCACAGGGAAATCAAAGGCGGGGTACAGGGCCAGAGGGAGGAGGGAACTACTTCCCGGTTGCTCTCAGACGCTTCGGAGATCCTCTGGAGGCCTGGGGGAGCTTTAGAGTTCTTTATTTCAGTAGGTCCCTGAGCTCTGTGAGTGGCGGGGGTAGAGCCACCAGGGGAATCCGCAGTGGTTTCTCGTGCCCCTCAGGGTCAGGAGCAGTCTGATCAAAAGGAGGCCATCCACTGTCTGGGGCCATTCCCACAGCTCCCGGATGCTGGGTCTGGAGGCTTCGCCCTTCCCCGCCAGGAGCTCGGCCCAGTGGTAAGTCATCTGCATGTCATCTATGTATTTAACCCCTCATGGCCATGTTGATGCTGAGCATGGTTTCACTTTTGCAAACATTTGTTTATGCCCTTCAAGAGAAAAACATCTCAGCTGTTACAGGAAGCTGCTTTGGGGGGTGAGCAAACTTCTTAAACACGCAGAAATTATGATCTACACCCGCTTCTTAAAAGCAAGCCATGGTACTTGGTTCTCTTTAATGATATATTTTCTTTCATATTGTGTTCATGTAGGCAAGTCCTGTTTCTGCTGAAAGAAGGTAAGTTCTACAAAGATGGTGTCGTGCCAGCTTTATTTCCCGTGGCACCTGGAGCACTGCTAAGCACTTACATGCTTGACAAGTAGATTGAGGATGGTGCTGCTCTGGGGAAGTGGGCACACGTGAAAGAAATGTTTATTTCAATCTTCTGAAATAGGAAACTCCTCTGGCTAAAATGTAGCTTCAGAAAGGGAAAGTGGGGCTGTTTGAATCAGGGTCCAGTTTGTTGTTTCCTCCAGGATAAGACAGCTGTTGGAGGGGAAAATCATCTCCCGTTTCTCCGCAGGGCAGCCTGAATATGGCCAATTACACGCTGGCACCAGAGGATGAATATGATGTCCTCATAGAAGGTGAACTGGAGAGCGACGAGGCAGAGCAATGTGACAAGTATGATGCCTGGGCACTCTCAGCCCAGCTGGTGCCGTCGCTCTGCTCTGCTGTGTTCGTGGTCGGTGTCCTGGACAATCTCCTGGTTGTGCTTATCCTGGTAAAATATAAAGGACTCAAACGCGTGGAAAATATCTATCTTCTAAACTTGGCAGTTTCTAACTTGTGTTTCTTGCTTACCCTGCCCTTCTGGGCTCACGCTGGTGGCGATCCCATGTGTAAAATTCTCATTGGACTGTACTTTGTGGGCCTGTACAGTGAGACATTTTTCAATTGCCTTCTGACCGTGCAAAGGTACCTAGTGTTTTTGCACAAGGGAAACTTTTTCTCAGTCAGGAGGAGGGTGCCCTGTGGCATCGTCACAAGTGCCGTGGCGTGGGTAACAGCCATTCTGGCCACTGTGCCCGAATTTGCCGTTTATAAACCTCAGATGGGAGACCCGAAATACAAGTGTGCATTTAGCAGAACTCCCTTCCTGCCAGCTGATGAGACATTCTGGAAGCATTTTCTGACTTTAAAAATGAACGTTTCGGTTCTTGTCTTTCCCCTATTTATTTTTACATTTCTCTATGTGCAAATGAGAAAAACACTAAGGTTCGGGGAGCAGAGGTATAGCCTTTTCAAGCTTGTTTTTGCCATAATGGTAGTCTTCCTTCTGATGTGGGCGCCCTACAATATCGCACTTTTCCTGTCCACTTTCAAAGAACATTTCTCCCTGAGTGACTGCAAGAGCAACTACAACCTCGACAAAAGTGTTCTCATCACTAAACTCATCGCCACCACCCACTGCTGCGTCAACCCTCTCCTGTATGTCTTTCTTGATGGGACATTTAGGAAATACCTCTGCCGTTTTTTCCATCGGCGTAGTAACACCCTACATCAACCCAGGCGGCAGTTTGCACAAGGCACATCGAGGGAAGAACCTGACCGTTCCACCGAAGTGTAAACTAGCATCCACCAAAGGCAAGACGACTAAACATGGATTTTCATCTTTTTGCATTATTTCACTTAAATTTTTTACACACTTGTATACAAAATCGGATACAGGAAGAAAAGGGAAAGGTGAGCTAACATTTGCTAAGCATTGAATTTGTCTCAGGCACTGTGCAAGGCCCTTTACAAACGCGAGCTCCTTCGCCTCCTGCCACTTGTCTGTAGTGTGGATGGGACTAGGCTCATTTCTCTGAGAAGAAAACTGAGGCTCGGAAATTTGTCTAAGATCACACAAGTAGGAAGTGGCAGAACTGATTCTCCAGCCCTGGTAGCGTTTGCTCAGAGCCTACGCTTGGTCCAGAACGTCAAACTCCAAACCCTGGGGACAAACTGCATGAAATAAATGTATTTTAAAACGTCTATTTAATGTATTTTAAAATAATTCATAAGTTGCTTTTAAAACCAATTTAACTACATTCCGAATTATAAGCAGCACATTTATATGGGAGTAATTTTTCAGGTGCATTTTCTCGCAGTTGATGAGAAGAACCAGCTAGCTGGAAGCTGTGGAAAAAAAGAGGTAAGGTAACTTGTTCTGAGGAAGTTCTCTAAATTCTCTTGGTCACTCGCCACACCCCTAGGTCCCCAGCTTCCCCTAACCCAAGGTTTCTGATATTTTCTTGTACTTTATCAAAACTATGGAATCTTAGGAGATTTAACAAAAGCAAATGAGAAATTCTGTTTAGAATGTCTAACAAAATGAATGTTTTGTCCTTTTAAGTATAACACATACCTCAGGCCTCACCAGCACATAACTACAAAATGTTGTCCCACTTCCTTTCTATGGCTGAGTCAGTAGAACACAGGCTCCCACCGGCCACATCAGCAGAAGGTCACCTCAACATGTGAGCTACCTCCCCGGGGACCCCCCAGATCTGTAAGGATGATGCATCCTTGATCCTAAAAACATTTTCCTGTTCCTGGTGTTCAGAACTGGACTCCACACTCACTGGTCTCTTTATAATCTTGCTTCTGGTCCTTTGAGGCATCAAAGCTACCAGCACCTTGCTGCCAGGGGACAATGATTGCTCACGGCTGAGTCCTGCAGACACAGGGCCTGGACTGGCTGCCTCCTCCTGCTGGCCCAGCATCTTGCTTGCACTAAAGAGAACTGGAGGATTGGCACTGATACTTGCTGAAAACCTACCCAGGCCACCCACTACTGCTGCACTCCAGGGCAGCAGCCCACACTCCTCCCCTCCTGGCATCAGGCACATGTTCACAGCATTGAATCTTACAGGAAAGCAGTGGAACCCTGTCTCTCCTTCACAGGAGGCACGTGCCTTCCTAGCCAAAAATTGTGATACCCACGGGCACAGCATCTCACATAGGGACACATAGAGATGTCTGACTCATTAAAACCCAAGTCTCTGGTCAATTAAAAGGGGTCCTTAAAGTCTTACTCAATAGTGGTGGAAGGAAATTTGCTCTATATTGATGAAATGAGGTGCAGAATATCTGATTTTCCAAACATGAGAATTCTCCATATGTCACCCCATAACCAAAGACCCCCTATTTGTGTTAGACGAAACATTCAAAAAGCCTATTAGGATAGTGGATGAGACCCCCAAGGGACATGCTTATATAACAATAACTGGCTCCAAACCATATTCCATGGCAGTGGCTCTCAAACGCCAGCACACATCGCAAGCCCTATGCTGAAACACAGAGTTCGGGGCCCCACCCCTGAGTTTCTGGTTCAGGAGGTCTGGAGTGGGACCTCCGAATATGCATTTCTAACAGATTCCCAGGGGATGCGGATACTGCTAACCCGGGCCCTCCTTCTGAGCACCACTGTTCCAGGGAGAAGGAACTCAGTTAAGTAAGGGTTTGGCTTTGTCCTGAGGACAATGTGGAATTTAGAGTTGAGGTGAATTATTCAGGAAAGTAGAGAGGTTTGGAGATGTGAGGGTGGGAAGTGCAGTGGAGGGAGGCAGAGAGGAAATATGAAGCAGCCGTCAGTTGGAGAGAAACTAGGAAGAGGAATAAAATGATATATGTCAGGAATTTCAGTTTTGCTGAGCCCATGATCACAGCCTCTTCTCTGGCCCCTTGTGTCACTCACCGAGGCCTTGTAGCTGGGTCTACTCTTTCAGAGTCGTAATAGGGCTGTGGGTCTGACCTCAAGGTGAGCTGGAGTGGGCACAGATAATAGATAACACTGCAAGAAGTCTCTCAAGGGTCCTTCCCAGAACAAAGGATCCTTCCATTCCAAAGGCGAATGCCGGTCACTATCATAAAAGAAAAGAAAGAAAGAAACTGATGGTGACATTTTAAATGGCAACTTTTCTAGCTTCTAAAAGAATGTGGAGCAACTGGAACTTTCATACCCTGCTGGTGGGAATGTAAGATGGTATAATCACTTTGGAAAAATTGGCAGTGTCACCAAAAGCAAAGCCTACACCTACTATCCATTCCACTCCTCAGTATTTACCCAAGAGAAATGAGCCTGTATGTCCATACAAAGATTTGGACCCAAATGTGCATGACAGCTTTATTTATATAGCCTCAAACTAGAAAAAGTGTGTCTATCAACAGGTGAACGGATAAGCAAACAGTGGCCTGTGTGCCTAATGTAATACTGCTCATCCACAAAAAGAAATGAGTTATTGATACACACAGGAGCATGCACGAAATCTAAAAATGCTGAACGAAGGAGGCTGGAATTTTTTATTTTTATTTTTATTTTTTATTTTTGAGAGAGAGTCTCGTTGCGTCACTCAGCCTGGAATGCAACGGCGTGATCTTGGCTGACTGCAACCTCTGCCTCCTGAATTCAAGCAATTCTCATGCGTCAGCCTCACAAGTAGCTGTGACTACAGTCATGCACAAGACCAACTGGCTAATTTTTGTAATTTTACTAGAGACGGGGCTTTGCCGTGTTGACCAGGCTGCTCTCAAACTCCTGACCTCAGGCGATCTGCCTGCCTCGGCCTCCCAAAGTGCTGGGATCATGAGTCACCGTGCCCAGCCGGAAGCCAGATATTTTTAAAGAGTACTTATTTTATGATTCTATTTATATAAAATTCTAGAAAATGCAAACAAATCCATAGCGACAGCAAATCAGTGGTTGCTGGAGATGTTGGAGGGGAGAGGAGAGGAATAGATTGCAAAGGGGAACAAGGAAATTTGGGTGGACAGTGGATATGTCTATTTTTACTGTGGTGATGGTTTCATTGCTTTATACGTATGTCAAAAACGTAACAAGTTGTATACCTTAAATGTGATTTGTTGTGTGTTGACTATACCTCAAAAAGGCTATTTTTTAAAAAGCCTCTCAGCCTCCAGGCACTCCGTTACATTGGTGTTACTCTTCTTGGAAATATACTCTGAGCATTTGCCGGAGGAGTTTGAGTGCCTGGGCCTTTGTCGCTTCTCCCAAGTAGAATTGGCAGCTAAAATACGGGATGCCCATGGGCACAACCTCTCACCCCCATCACCGACCAGGGAGCAGGGGGTGCCCCCACAGGGAGCACAGTCTCATCGGGAATTACCTTCCACGGCAAATAAAATCACCAGGGCAAGTCAAGGGAGAGACCAGAGAAGAGAGTACTCCATCCTATACTAAAAAAGGATGAGAAAGGTTGAAGAAAAGGGGGAGAAGGGACAGAAATTCTCTCCACACATTTGCAGAAGTAGTCTGGACTCTCCAGCCACTTCTCCTCCAATGCGTAGGACAGGAATCTCAGAGGAAATGGCATCATCTTCCCATGTTTACAGACACAGCAATGAACTCAAAGAACAATCTTATCAGGATTTTCCAAATGAAAACTTGGAATGTGTAGAAAATAAAGATCTGCAAACTCTTATGGTGGTTGAGACTGAAATGGCTAATGAAAAGCAAAAGTGTGTGCTAAATGACCCAGCCACAAATGGCCCGAACACTTAAGTAGTGTAGTATATTTGGAACATTGACAGCTAATAAGGCTTTCCTCCCATGTCAGACCAAGAACACAGTTTTCTAAAGATAAAAATAGCATAAGCTTTTCCACTTTTCCATAAGCGACTGCAATAGAAAACTAACAAACGATGAAAAGCAAAATATGGCTAGTCTATTCAAGAAAAGCAGATGGTGTTTCTATTTTGCCTGTAAATTACTTTCCAGTACAAAAAACAATTCCTGTTACACTGATTACACTGATAACAATTCCTGTTAATTCTAACTAGAGACATATGAGAGAAAGATTGAAATCTCATGAGCTGTCTCCTTTTCATCTCAATTCTGTGTACTCTTTCATCTCAATTCTGTGTACTTCTGGGTGCAAATGGAACTAATGTTTGTTTGTTGCTTGTTTGTTTGTTTGTTTTTTGAGACAGAGTCTTGCGCTGTTGCCCAGGCTGGAGTGCAATGGCGCGATCTCAGCTTACTGCAACCTCTGCCTCCTGGGTTCAAACAATTCTCCTGCCTCAGCCTCCTGAGTAGCTGAGATTACAGGTGCCTGCCACCATGCATAATTTTTTTTTCTGTTTTTTTTTTTTAGTAGATACGGGGTTTCACCATGTTTGTCAGGCTGGTCTCAAACTCCTGACCTCAGGTGATATGCCCACCTTGGCCTCCCAAAGTGCTGGGATTACAGGTGTGAGCCACTGCACCTGGCCTGGAACTAGTTTTAAAACAGGAAACAGTTGATATACTGAATGGAAAAGCAATACAATTTGAAGTTGAAAAAGCAAAATAGGATGCCCAATTAAATTTAAATTTCAGTTAAGCAACTAATAATTATTTAGTATAACTACATCCCATATACAACAACTGCAGTATTTGTTATTTATCTGAAATTCAAACTTACCTGGGCATCCTAGTATCCTGTTTTTTGTTTTGTTTTGTTTTTCCTTTTGTTTTCTTTTTTTTCCTGAAATCTGACAATCTTAATTTTGAGGTATTTATTCAGTTTTAAAAACTAAATCTTTTTTTGGCAGTCAGAACTAGAGCAAAGATAAATGACCCCAGGGCTCCGTTTGGCAGGCAGTTAGGCAGTGTGATGGTGTAGCGGGTGGTAGCCCCGGCCAGGCCTTTCCTCTTCCCTAAACTGCCACCGCAGGACTGCCACATTCGGGAATCCCAGTTTCCATATGAGCAGCCCCTCCAGAGTTTGGAAGGAGTCAGTGCTTTAGCCCAAGGAGCTGCGGATGGCTCTAACACTTTGCTTGTTGGTTGAATAAAAATCAACACAAAGGTGGTCTACACTCATTGAAGTAGGAATGCCAGAACTTGCGTGGTGTCACATAGAAGAAAATATCGAAGTGCTTAGGGAGACGGCAGCACTAGTAGATCTAACTGGATCATTAAGACTCACTCACCTGTCCATCGCAAGTCTAGAGGACACACCCTTACCACACTGGGAAGTGTAAATGAGCTCCAGCATCCTTAAAAAAAAAATCTCTCTAAGTGGTGGCTCTTCTCTGTAGATCAAGAGCTATAGTGAGAAATGCTACCAAATTGGGGTTTCTAAATACAGGGGGGATGGTGGGATCCTGAGGAAGGAGGGGCCACGTGGTAACACAAAACACCAAGTGGGCATGGTTGCCACTGTGGGTGGTGGAGCCAAAGCAGTCCTCAGAATAGTCTGACCCCCAGAGATCTTTGGCTTTGGCTGGTTGATCATGGTATCCCTGGAACTGAAATAGAAGGACAGTCTGCTAAATTTTTACCTGATCTGTATAAGCAGAAGAGTTCTATCTCTAGAGAACAGAAGTCTAACTTTAGCCACCAGAACTGAGACTCGATTCAATCAATTGCCAGATTTGACATAGTTTATACACCTAGAACCCCTTGAATGAAAGGTAAGCTGGCTCCCCTTGAGGAAGGACCCTGTTACATTTCTAGCATTTTATTCTGATAATCTTTTTCCCAGCCTTCCCCAAAGCAACCTAGGGCCATTTACCAGGGAAAGTCATGGAGGAAAAGGAAATAATTAGGCTTTTTGGAGATTCCTGGACACTGGCTCTACACTGACACTGATTCTAAGAGACCTAAAACATCTCCGTGGTCTACCTCCCAAAGTAAGGCTTCATGAAGGTCAGGTGATCACTAGAGTTTTAACTCAGGTCTGTTTCACAGTGGGTCCAGAGAGTCCCTGATAACTTATCCTATAGCTATCCCCCCAGTTCCAGAATGCAGAATTGAGCTGAGAGCAGTGGCTCATGCTTATAGTCCCAACACTCTGGGAGACCAAGGTGAGAGGATCGCTTGAGCCAAGCAGTTTGAGACCAGCCTGGGAAATATAGTGAGACCCCATCTTTTAAAAAACAAAGAAAAATAAAGA